GCGCTACACTATTCGATGGGATTCCTCCTAGAATATTTTAGTAACAGCTTACTAAACTCAATGTCGTATTCATTCACGAGTTCATACGTCACAGTATACACAAAAGTTTCTTGGCTTTAAGACTCACATTTAAAGAATTGGTTCCATGAGATTGAAAGCACTACTGATCAAGTAGCGAATCGCAATTTCTTCGTACAATTGTAAACATGAAGGAAATGAATGACGATGGCGCCGACAAAAAAGATTCGACTAAAAATACGATTTAATTTGAAAAAAATAGTTTTGTATGTTCATTTATTGATTTTTTAAATAAATAATTGATTTTATTTTCTTACACAGTATAATTAAGGTAAACAAATACTAATATGCTTATTTTATTCTTTCGTAATAAACAAAAATTTGTTTAGTGGAAAATTTAGAGATTATGAGTGCAGGGTCGGTTTTTATCAGTGGTTTTCTAATGGTTTTAGAAGTTGAATCTGATGGAGAGCTTATTTTGTTGTTGCAACACCGCAAGCGTCACATTCATACATGAGCTATATTAATTTGTGCCAACTTTTGCATATGAGCACATGAGCTTTGATCGAAACAGTGACAAATGATGGCAATTGGTTAGGGTGAAACGTTTTGTTTTTAGGGTTCCGTCCGTCTGTCCGCGGTTTTACAAAGGTTAAAAAATTACCATAGTATTTATATTTATAACATATATATTTCTGTATGGCTATTTATCATTAGGCCAAGTTTCTTTAACATATTTGTAGGTATTAATAACCATATTTTTTCATTCACAGTAAAACTACTCACATAAAATTTAAAATTAAATTAAAATTATATACATACTTTACTTACTTGTATCTTTAATAAATTAAGAAAAGTTTTATTATTACATTTGCCGTTTTTTAAATAACTTTAAGATAACTTTAAAGTACACCCCGAACCAAGAAGTTTTAATTAAAACTACTAAACAACATTCATATAACATATCTTATTCCTATACATACCTTTGGACGTTTCTTTTTCGGAGAAGTAAAATCTGTTGATTTATCGCTCGACGTACTTGGTTGTAGCTCCACCATTCATCTTCATCATCATTACAGCCCTTCACAAGTCCACTGCTGAACATAGGCCTCCCCCAAGTAATGCCACAAAGCACGGTCCTGAGCCACCTGCATCCATCGACTTCCTGCATGTCTTACCAGGTCGTCACTCCATCTAGTGGGGGGTCGCCCTACACTACGCCTACCGGTACGAGGCTGCCACTCGAGAACCTTTCTTCCCCATCGGTTATCGGTTCTTCGAGCTATATGGCCGGCCCATTGCCACTTCAGCTTACTAATCCGATGGGCTATGTCGGTCACTCTGGTTTTACTGCGGATATCCTCATTTCTGAGTCTATCACGCAGAGAAACTCCAAGCATAGCCCTCTCCATAGCTCGCTGAGCGACCTTAAGTGTCCTCATACGGCCAGCAGTGAAGGACCACGTCTCAGATCCGTAAGTCATCACTGGCAACACGCACTGGTTGTACAATCTAGTTTTTAGAGATTGAGGTATACCTGAAGAAAAGATATGTCGTAATTTCCCGAACGCTGCCCAGCCGAGTTGAATCCGTCGATTGACCTCTCGGTCGAAGTTGGACTTACCTAGTCGGACTATTTGTCCCAGGTAAACGTACTCGTCAACAACTTCGAGCATAGTGCTCCCAACAACTACCGGCATAGGTGTGACATGGACATTAAACATGATCTTTGTTTTGTCCATGTTCATCTTAAGACCTATCCGTTGGGAGGCACTATTGAGGTCATTGAGCATAATGCTTAAGTCCTCCAGCGATTCTGCCATAATGACTATATCGTCGGCAAATCGAAGGTGAGTGATGTACTCGCCATTGATGTTAATACCGTATCCTTTCCAGTCCAGTAGCTTGAAAACGTCTTCTAACGCAGCGGTGAAGAGTTTCGGAGATATAACATCACCCTGTCTTACACCTCTCTGCAGTTGGATAGGTTTCGAACTCTGGTTCTGTACTCGGATAGCCATCGTAGCCCTACTGTACAAACACTTCAGCACTTCGATGTACCGACAGTCAACTTGGCACCGCTGAAGGGACTGTAGCACCGCCCAAATTTCGACGGAATCAAAGGCTTTCTCATAGTCCACATATGCCAGGCAAAGTGGCAGATTGTACTCTTCGGTCTTCTGTACAATCTGCCGCAGGGTATGTATGTGGTCTATGGTACTGAAGCCTTTTCGGAAACCGGCTTGTTCGGGAGGCTGGAAGTCGTCGAGTCTGCGTGCGAGACGATTTGTAATGACTCTCGAAAATAGCATGTAGACGCGGCTCAGAAGGGAAATCGGTCTGTAGTTCTTCAAGAGAGCATTGTCGCCTTTCTTAAAGAACAAAACCACCGCGCTTCTGCTCCACGCCTCCGGAGTAGTGCCACCATGGAGGACAGAATTGAAGAGCTTCCGAAGGACTTCAAGTACCGGTTTTCCACCCGCTTTCAGAAGCTCCGCTGTAATTCCATCCTCGCCCGGGGCCTTGCCGTTTTTAAGGTGCTGGAGAGCCATTCTAATCTCGCTCAGACTGACGTCCGGGATATCATCGGAATAGTATCGGATAAGACTTGCTCTTGGATCGTTACTCACACTTGCGTGTGGCTCCAACGATGATGTGTACAGCTGCCCATAGAACCTCTCAATCTCACTCAAAATCTCAGGTGTCCCGGAAACGATGTTGCCACACTCAGTCTTCAGCTTTGACAGTTGGCTCTTTCTGGCAGACAGATCTCTGGCAAAGACTTTGGAGCCCTGGTTCCGCTCGATCGCTTCTTTAATACGAGAAGTATTAAAGTTGCGTAAGTCTCGCCGCATGCATTTGGAGATCTGTCTGTTCAGTTGCCTGTATGCTGTCAAATCTGTTGACGATTGCAGCCTCATCTCCCGTCTAACAGCCATGAGATTAAGAGTGTGATCGGAGAGTTTTTGTGTTCTTCTGCGGCGGGTCTTGCAGAACTTAGCTCCGACCGCATGGACAGTTTCCACGAGCTTGTCGTTAATATCGTCCACTGCATTGCAATCTTCTAGGCACTGGAAGCGGTTACGTAACTCGAGCTGAAAGGTTTCGGGATTCTGGATTAGAGCACGAGGGGGACGGAGCGTTGACTTCATTAGACGAGACCTCTCCAACTTAACGTTTAGGTTCAGTGTGCCTCTAACCATTCGGTGATCGCTGCCAGTTTTCACCCTTGCGATCACTGAGACATCACTGAACAGTTGGCGTCTGGTCGTCATAATGAAGTCAATCTCATTTTTTGTCGAACCGTCGGGGCTCGACCAGGTCCACTTCCTGTGGGGCCGCTTCTGGAAGAAAGAGTTCATCATAAAGAGTCCCTCTTTCTCCATAAAGTCAGCCAGCTGCTGGCCCCTTCGGTTCCGTTGCCCTACTCCAAATTTCCCTACCTTCAGCTCACCGCTTTCTCTTGTGCCTAGTTTTGCGTTGAAGTCTCCCATCAACACCGTGTAGTGGGTTTTGGAGGAATGTATGGCTCTGGAAATATCCTCATACATTTCCTCCACCTCCTCATCGGGATGTGCCGAGGTTGGTGCGTAAACCTGAATGACCTTCAGCGAATACCGTTTGGTGATTCTGAGTATCAGGTACGCGACCCTCGTCGACACACTCCCAATCTTTACAACGTTGTTGACGAGAGACTTGTGGACGATAAATCCGACACCTCCTTGGGACAGATGGTCGCCCTCCCGGTGATAGAACAAGTTGCCGGACTCGAGGATTGCCGTGTCCTCCCCCTCTCTTCGGACCTCGGATAATCCAATAATATGCCAGCGCAACTTGTCTACCTCTTCTTCCAGCTCTAGTATCTTCTCGTCAGTCCTCAGGGTGCGTGCGTTATATGTTGCCAGGTCGAGTCGTCGTAGGTGGCAACCGAACCTCCACCGGAGATTCTTAGCACCCCCTGCCCCGTCGTTACCATGGTCGCCACCGTAGCCAGGAATAGCGGGGCCGCCGGGGACTGGGGGCCGTCTGTTTGTGTATTTATTCATTGGGGGGTATTTGCCATAGTTGCCACGCTTGGCGAGCGGGTTGGCAACCGCAGTTTTTTATTACGTCACAGTTGTTATCAGGAAGATGCTGCTGCCCATCTCCTGCCTGTCTCCCTCTGTCGCCTTTTACGACACCCACGGGAAGATATGGGGTAGTGGATATTCTCAACCGCCACTACACGCTCCACCATTAACCACTCTTAATAAAAAAAACAATTATCAACAAAATAAAATAACAAGAATTAAATAAACAATAATTACTAAAATGGCCTCCCGAATGTTGGTGAACCCGTCTTGGGTCAAGTTACATGTTTTTGCCGGGAAAACGAGACATTACGACAAATACCCAAGATGGAACGAGATAGGTAATAGATTGTCAACTCCACAGTCGTTTTTAAGGTAAATGACCTTTCGTATCGCTGCTAATAATTATAATTAAAAAAATGGAAAAGGCAAAAATTAAATTATAATTTTATTAACTTTTAATTTTATTAATTTTTAATTAATAATACGTAAATACCGTACTTGGCGGGATTTGACGGGATTATAGTGTTCTCTACAACGGGAGCTACATCTTAATGTTTGCAACACTGCGTACTATACGTGACATGAAGGTTTGAAGGGTAGCTTCATGATACGTGACAATTTTTTTCTTAAAATACCCCAAAGCAGACTTGTCACAGTCTGGTTATGGCAGCTCTGATTTTTACGATAACAACACTGAATTGGTTGTAATCAAAAGTCAAAACAATCAAGTCGACGACGAGCGAATCTGAATAATTTTATAATTCCAAGGTCAGAACTCTAAAGTCATTTGTATTTTAATCAATCGGCTTGGCCCCACAGTGCCACAGCCCCACACGCCCCTCACCTACACAATACGTGTTAGTAGTTATCAAATTAAATAATATAATCTAACTACATATGGCTTCGAAAATGTTGAAAGTATTTAAATATGAAGTAAGTTGTACTTATATAATTTAAATGTGAACTGCCACTAAAAATATATTATTGCATTCAGTCTTTAATAATTATAAGCTAATCATAATAATTAAACTATTTAAAATTGAAGACCTTTAAATATCTAATCTAATAGTTTGCAATTCATCAGGGACCATTTTCAAAGTATACTCGGTTTGTAAAAAATTTTGCAATATTGGTTAACTATCCATATACATATTATTCATTTCAGTATAACAATATTTTTAATACAAAATATGTGAAGTTTACTAACTAGTAAAGCACAATTTATAATAATCATTTACTTCGGACAACTTGTACATCCATATTGTGTTAGTAAAAAATGGCTTACAAAATATGTTAGTATTTTATTAATTGGGATTAAATTAATTTTATTTAATTAAATTATACTTGTTACAATAATATTAATAAATTTTTTACCTACAGTTATATTTGTTACTATGAGTATCATCATAGTAAAAGGGGAAAAGGTATGTTCCCGTGATCGTCACTCTTCGCACAAAGCATTACCAAATTGGTGAAGTAAATCAGTTTGCTAATGTCTTCAGGATGCTATTGGAACTGTTCCTCACTCTGCTAATCAGGGAGCTCGTTTTTTTTTACGAATGATGGCATCGAAGCCATCAGTTTGGTATTCCGCAAACATTCCTGATGCACTGCAAAAACGCAACATCATCCTGAAGACATTGTTATACTGGATTCGAAAAGTGTCTAGCTCTTTCTTGGTATGTTTGACCCACAAATTTCCCATGTACATGCTTTGGCAGTATGCCTTAAATAGCGTCACTTTAACCTCTTCTGTACAGTGTGAAAATCTGCGAGTCAACATGTTACCTCTAACCGCCAGAGCCCTTCGCTCCCTTTCAATATCATTATCGTCTTTGAGGCTGCTATTGATGACATGTCACAGATATTTAAATTCAGACACACGTTTGATGTTCATGTCATTAAGGGTGATATTTGTTGTATTATTGGGACATTTACCAGCAGCCTCAAAAATCATGTATTCTGTCTTTTTACATTGTATGTAAGCCCGTGCCCAGCAGCATACGTCTCACAGACATTCAGCATTTCCCTCAGACCAAACCCACCCACAAATTGAACATTAGTTATTTCTTATATTGCATTTTAGGATAAGTAAGGAACAAATAATTATTTATTATGTAAAATAATTAAAAAATAAATTTTGATTTTTTGTTAAGAGATATATATGTATTCTTAAATGTGTTTATATTATCTAAACATTTAAGCCACCAGCTATATTATAGTTGTAGCACCAAGGAGAAGCTCTTTAGACTGGAAACAAGCTATTCTTTCTTCAGCCCTCACGGGTGATGACAGATCTAAATTTTGATTCTTAATTGAGGAGAGATGTGGGTGACTATGGGCCTCAGCGTCACTTTCATCATCCTTATTCTATAAAAAAGTATTATACTTGTTTAAATCAAATAAACTAATTCTTAAACTCTTAACTAACAAAGAAATTTTGTTAAAATTTTTGAAATTATTAGTTTCGTTTGCTGCCTCCAGTAGCAGAGAGGCAATATAAATATCTAGGAATGGTTTACTTACCACTGCCTCATACAATATTTGGTAGTGCCAATAAAAAAAAACTTTGATCTAGAAAATTATTTAGGATCTTGAAAACTGAACTAAATTAATTGATTTATTAATTATTTGTAGTCTCAATTAATTCTACGCAGAAGCTACAGTAGTTCTGCACCTAGTACAAAGTTATTTATTGATGGACAGTTTATTGATTCCAAAACCAGCAACTGGATTGAACTTACAAACCCTGCAACAAATGAAGTTATTGGCAGGTAAGAAAAATTCTTTTAATTTCTTAAAATAATACATATTTAATTGGTATTAAAAAGATCATGGAAAATTAAGTATAACATTTTAAGTGCCCATTATAAGTAACAGGATCAGTGTAAGGCTAGGATACAGCAGCATCAGAGACACAGAGATAATCACAAATACAACTGGGCCCAAAAACAAACAACATTAGTTTACACAAATATGTGTTATAGCGGTCTACACTCTATTCCGATGGGACGACAGTCCGACTTGACTGGAAAGAGATTAGGCACAGGACAGCTTTACGGGTTTTTATTCTCAGTAACAGGCTGGAGTCAAGAAGTTATCAGTGTTTCACCACCCTGCCTCGGATATCACGTAAAGCCTTTGGTCCTGCGCCTTCCTGTGTTGTTCTACACTGCAATGAAGAGCTAGATCAACAACTCCGGGTGCCATTGCATTGATCAAAATTGATGTAGAGGACATTAGGATTTCTTACAAATACGCAAATAATACTAAGTAACTCTGTTTTAGTTTGACTTATTTAAATCCCAATGATATTTCAAGAGATGAGGTTTGAATGGCTGTGTAAGAATTACATCCACTACCCCATCTGCCCTATACCATCCCATGGGTGGCATAAGAGATTCCAGAAAAAAACTATGCGATGGGCAGCTACATAGTGACTACTAAAAAATAACCAAGTCAGCCAAGCATGGCAACTGTAAATTATAAATATGAGGCAATCCATCTTAGCAGTGGACTTAGTTTAGTTTACGACAGGCTGTTTTCCGCAACTTCACATCTAAGCGCATATTTTCTATATGGGCAGGAATATTGTGATTATTCCAGCTATGGAATCTCACAAGAAATCTCACAACAGTCCTTTTATGTTGCGGGCACCTTCAGGGAGTGATCCCGGTGTGCCCAGATGTTTAGCCCTATGTGTAGTGACCTCCGGACATGCAAGCAACATCTGGGCTGCCCTTTCCTCCTCCCTCATATGTGCATCCCTGCACATGGAGACTATCTGTAACACTTATAGTAAATAAATGTTTGTTAAAGGAGCCATGTCCTGTGGCTTGTTCACTCTCACTGAGACTTTGGTTATATGACTGTTTATTTCTGGCAGGGCCTCCCTAGCTTGCCTACAGTCCACGAGATTTTTCCATAGGTGAGCATGTTAATTAGTAAAGGTTTTTACATACAAAAGGAATTGGTATGATCGGTTCCAGCCCTATAGATAGACCATAGCCAATGCTCTCCTAGCCAGTTTGTCTGCTGTGTCGTTGCCCATGGATCCACTATGTCCCTTGATCCATTGCAGATTGCAGAGATTGAGATCACATTGTTGTGTTTACATAAATGCCATCAACAATTAAATGAGGTATGCCTCATTTAATATAATCTGATTATCCTTTATATTAGTCCGAAGTTCACCACATTACAACTCCAGAGCATATAGTACTGCTGTACTGTCGGTCAGTATTCTGATGGAGAAGTCTTACCTTCCTAGCATCTATTGCTACAGCCGCTTGGATGACACCCATACATTCTGCCTGAAAGAGTGTGTTGTGGGTACCCAGCAGTGTACATATGTGGATATTATGGTCTTCCGAGAAAGTTCCAGATCCTACACCTTCATTTGTTTTAGAACCACTTGTTAAAACTCTAAGCTCTAGGGTTTAATCCCTCCGGTTGGTTGGTTTTATTTAATTGTATCTTATATTTCTAATCAAACACAAATTCTTTGGGGATCTTATCGTACTTGGCTTGTAAGAAAGGAATTTTGAGTAAATTCTATCAATTATACTCCTGTATGAGGGACTTTACTCTTACTCCAAAGATTTAGGATTGTGAGTCTAATGGCAGCTAAAGTCGCTTCTTGATGTATGTGTAGGTGAAGTGGGGTTAGCTCCAGCATAGGCTCTAAGGCTGCTGTTGGTGTAGTCCTTATGCATCCTGTGGCAGCAGTCACACATGCCAGTCTCCTTTTTAGGTTGCCTTCCACTTCCCTTTACGGCTCACCACATGCAAGGCAGCAGAAAAAAGGTCGTCCGTTCTCTGGGGCTCCGCAGGAATTCTGCTACTAACGACCCCTTGCTTCTTCCTCGCGTCCAGCTCCTTAAGTTTAAGTGTTTAAAATTCGACCCCTCGGCTTTTGTCCCACCCTCCATGGAACCCGCATCTTTGGGAGCGCCCTACTTTAAAACAAAAAGAATTTCAGGTGTTAGGATTACCGGGGGATTAGGGACGCGAAGTTGGCTCACAGTGTGACATCGGGAGCTCGATCCAGCTGGCAGATAGATAGAAATGCATGGGCATTTCAGCCCTATCTGCCACCTGGAAGTTACAGTCTATTCGGGCAGTGCAGCCATAATCACTGCCTGTATAGACTGTCACCTGCTCCGTCAGCATGGCCTTTACCGCCACCTAGCCCATTTCAGGGAAACTGGCCTGCCCCCACATCGCTCTGATAGGGCGCTTGGTCATTTCCTTATTTGTGGCTAGCAGATAGGGCCACCGTTTACCTTGAAATCCGGACCAAAGATGTCGTGCTGCCTCTCGCCACTATATACACCAGTGACGATCGGTTCAACCCTCCAGGACTCCCTCATCCCCGCGTACGGCGACCGACTGCGCAGGTCCTAGCGCATGTGGGTATGTTAGTGCACCGGATACACCCACTCTCTCCGGCGGAGCCATCCCTCCCATTTTATACGGACTTGGGACCGGCTGTACCAAAAAGTACAGGCAGATTTAAAAGTTAGCAGTAGACTTTCGATAGGGCTGTAACTGGTATTTAAATGTAGCGCTCATAGTCTGGGGTCCTACTTTTAAATAAATTGGTTACCACAAAACATTTACCATACATAACACTATATATTTCTCCATATTTTTATCTATTGTCGATATGTGTTCTCAGAATTTTAAAGATGATACAATTATAAATTTTAATTTCTGTAATAATTTAATTGTGTCATAAGATAATATCTTTATTGCCTTTTCGACTTATATTATTCATCATTTATCTCAAGAAATTTAATGTTGTCTTAACATTACCTTGAAAATAACATTATCTCTTATTTAATATTCATAACACTATAAGATATCACTCCTATCATTTTGTTGCTTAAAAACTACTATAGACTTATGAATATTAAAACAATAATTTGACTAGATTCACAAATTATGAGTGGTATTTGAACGGCAGAATCTATACATATAATAAAAAAGTAAATTGTAGGTGTTTCTACATTATATTATATTTTTGTAAAAAATGATCAATGCTGCTTTGTTTCGTGTTTCGTACGGTGAATGTAGAGAACCGGAGACCCCTTTCACTGGAAACGAGGCAATTCATCTTAGTCCTCAAGGGTGGCAACGCATCTGAATTGAGTCCTAATTAGATGGGAAGACACCATCGGTGAATTTGCACAATTTGTTGTTTGTTAGATTTCGTAAGGTAAAGGGCATATTCAAGCGTAGAGGCACTCACTCATCTTCATCTAGCCATGCCTGATATAACACTCTATCTATAAGGTCGGAGGTTAATTAGGATGCAGTGTCAAAGGTGCGGAGTCAATCACAAGACCACCAAAATCAGACTGAGCCAACATTTTTGTTTTTGCATAAATGTTGGCTCCAATGGCTCCGGCGTGGAATTTGAACTCAGGACCTACAACGTAACTATGTGCTTAAAAGCGGTTACAACCACGCGATCGTGAATTGTTTTAGAAGAAAATAATTGCGGTGACAGTATTTTAACAACGAACTCCTTTGTTTTGAGGAAATAGAGAGTTCACCTATGGTTGCGCATGTAGAATAACCCTTTCCTGCGCAGATTGATACGTTAAGACAGGCCGCTGGGACCGAAATGATATGGATGATATAATATAAAACATAACAAATATTTCTTATATTTAATTTCTTTGATGTATTTCATTTTTCTGTCTTGGCGCCTCGATGATAAGATGCGAGTCAGAGTATTGACGCGGAACACGCGTTCGAGTCGCAGCCAGGGTCAACTAAGTGTGTAAAACACCGAATTATTGCTTTTCCGATCTGATGTGTTATGATAATCTCCTATCTCCGAAAATATGTTTTATGATAATAGAAAATTAAGTAATTTATAAATATGCACGCTTAAATTATGTCTTAACCTATGAAATTGTTGTTTTCTATGAAATAACGTTTCATTTCTAAAATCAAAGTTCATTTCTAAAACCCATGCAATCGATGCATTTTGCCAACGCAGTCGAAGTTTATTGATGCCCTTCTTGAAGAAATCAGCTGGATGGGAGGCAACAAATTCTTCAAAGGCATTGCAATTCAATACCCGAGAGGCAGTACAAACTGCCTCTCGGGTATTGAATTTTTTCCCGCCAAAAAGCAATCCAAATTCTTAAAAAGTAGAAGTCTGTAGGCGCAAGGTCTGGTGAGTACGGCGGATGATGGACAGCTTCCAACCCCAGCTCTTGTAACTTGGAGACCATCAGTTGTGCAATAAGGTCGCGCGTTGTCGAGCAGGAGCAGCGGGGATGAGCGATTGACCAAAACTGGTCAATTGCTCATCAGGAAACGTGCGAGCTTCTCCATCATTGCGTTCAGTTCTTCACAGTACACATCTGTCGTAATGCTCATCCCGTTTGATAAGAAGCTGTGATAAAACACATCGGAGCTAGAACACCAAACAGTGACCATCACTTTTCTAGGGGCAAGTTTTCGTTGAGGGCGTTGTTTAGGTGCTGAATAAAAATCCAACCAACTTGCTGAGTGCTTGCCATTGTCAAACAGAATCCATTTTTCGCCGCAGACAACAAAGTGGGTCAAAATTCTTTCGTTTGTTTGCCTGTTAAGCAGTGCAATGCACATTTCGACGCGTACTTGGCGCTGGCGATCATGGAGTACGTGGGGCACCCATTTGTAAATTTTTTATACCTTGCCAATTTGACGCAAATGGACTAATATTGTTTTGATGCTAGCGTCGAAAGCTGCTGCTAATTTAGCCGTGGATTGAGTATCATCAGCTGCCACAATGGCCTTTAGTTCGTCATTGTCGACCAATATTTTCGGACGACCACGTGGTTCATTTTTCAGGTCGAAATTTCCAGAACGGAAGCGGGCAAACCAATAACAGGTGGTGCGTTCGTTTGTAGTATACGCTCCGTGAATGTCGGTGATTTTGCGTGCCGCTCATGTCGCGTTGTTGCGACGGTGCCTACCTACTCATATTCCATAATTACTCGTATTTTGAACGTAGCCATGTTAACGAAAAAGATTCAAATGCGACGAAAATATAACGCTGATCAATAAACAAATTATTTATTTTGAAAAAATAATTCCATGATTAAAATCATCCAAGATTTTAAAAAATGCAATTAATTTGAAATTAGAATTCTTGCCAAACAAAAATTGTTTTGATCTGAAATGGCCAGTACTGCAGAACCGCAATTTAATAGATAAAGACACATTATATTATTAGATATTAAAGTCAAATTATAATAATTTTTATTTTATCTTATAGAGTACCTGAAACAACAAAAGAAGAACTAAATACAGCTTTAGAGGCAGCAAAGAAAGCTTACAAATCATGGAGCCAAAGTACTATTATGACGCGTCAACAGCTAATGTTCAAGTAAGTTTTATAACCTAGCGAATAATTTAGCTATGATTTCCTTTCTTCGGCCATATTAGTCCCACATGTGCGAACGCTGCTATTTGTATCTCATTGATCAGAAAATTGTGACATATTCAATAATAATGAAAACCGGCATCTAAATAGCGAAACTTGTTAACGTCTCTGATAATCCGCTTCCCTAGGGAAGTGATTAGGTACTGAAAAATCTCATTTAATCACTAGAGATGGTCCTGAATCTGCATTTGATATGATTTATAGACTTTTTGCAAATATAACAGCCGTGTAGTATCGGCGTAAGGGAATCGACTACTCCGTATCATTCCGTAGCTGTCGTACGAGGCGACATAGGGGAAGCGAAACAGAAGATAGGCAGCAGCGTTTTCTCGATAACAATTTAAAATAATAAAAAAACTGCGTGTGCCAACCCGCCTGCAAAGCGAGACAACTATGGAAAATATGGGAGCCCTATGTTCGACAGTGAACTTTTCCATAAATAAAAATTAATAAATATGACATTAGGATTTGGAATTACCAGTCCACTTGACTTTGAAGCTCATGTATTATCACTGTATGCGGGTGGCAAAATTTTTAAAAACAATAAAAATAAAAAATAATAAAATAGAGTTGTGGCTTCAGATGGAATATCTTATAGCCTGTTATTATACTGGTACCATTAAAGCAACAACAACGTATACTTTGTTGTTTTTCCGGTAGAAACTGACGAAACAAGTCGCCCCACCAGTGTAGAATTGCAGAATAAATATGCTGTGTTGTATGGTATGAAAAATGAAAAAACATGAATAATATTTTTTGATCTTATTGACATAATAGAAAAAACTCAACTGGTTATTTGAATAAATAATCATGAGTGCAATTTGGTTAATTTAAATTTTCGTATTTTTAAAAAAAATACTAAAAAAGGGCTAGAAATAATAGATTTTCTCACGAAAGAAGAGAACTTAAAAGTCGGAGCAGTGACAGGATTCCGATTTCGCGACCGCCCGATATCACACTTTAGCTTTACGATCCCACTTTTGGGATTTACGTTCGTTAATACGCTGTCAAAATTTGCCTTCTTATATTGTAGCAGTTTTCATTGCCGAAAACACGGACAAAAGATATTTTCTAAAAATGAATCCTACCTAGATCGATTTATTGCCCCCGAAACCCCATGGACACTTAATTTTATGAAAATCGTTGGAGCCGTTTCCGAGATTCCGATTTTATATATATATATATATATATATATATATATATATATATATATATATATATATATATATATATATATATTCATACAAGAATTGCTCGTTTAAAGGTATAGGATACAATAATTTAAATAATTATCGTGTTCGTTAATAAAGCAAAGAATAAAATTTTTAGATATTTTAACTTTTTTTATTAATTTCTCTAAGTCATATTACCCATAAAAAATAGAAAAATATTTTGGCATTCCCTGCTTGCATATTAATTTTGGTTGAAAATATAAATAATTTAGGTGATATTTATAAATTTTAGACGTGGTAGAGCCATGCTGCAGTTATATTAATGGTATAGTGGTAGCACGAATCGGTCGGCTCGACCGAGGAATGACCACGCTCTCACAGAATACCAACGTGAAATAGTAGCTTAATGGTGAGTGTAGAGAACCGGAGACCCTTTTTACTGGAAACGAGGCATTCTATCTTAGTCCTCACGGGTGACAACCAATGATATTATAAGAAAAATAGGTAGATGGGTTATACGCGCACCGCAAGTGGCACGTAAAAATTAGGCTAATTAGCAAACCTGAGCTCAGTCGTCGCGCTATCGTCGCGTCATTGACAACGGCGCGGCGTTGAATAGTAATTCGTGTTTTGTTTTTGCACCGAAAATGCCGTCATATGTGATGAGATTCTGCACAAACTACACTAGAAAGGTTTCCAAAAGTCAAAAGGAAGATATTTCATTATTTTACTATTGTTTTGTTTACAAATTCAAAAATTACGTATTTTAATATATATTGTCAGAAAAAAATAGAGAGGGATAAAAATACCCCAATGTGAGTGAGTTTGAAAGAGAAGTAATATTGTTTCTGATCAAAAAATATAAAAAACAGATAGGTCTCTTCTGAGTATCGTAATTTAAATTGTGTACATATTATATTTATTCTCATGGTCTGAGAAATATATCATTTTTTTCTTTAAATGCCATCAAAACTGATAAAATAGTGATATTTTTTTTTAATTATTGTGACCTGATGAATAGTGGCTAGTGCAATGCATGCAGCAAACTTCAAATAAAAAGGCTATAGATGCGTCATCACTTCTGAGCTCTAAGATGGAATGGTCTCACGGCCTGTTAATGCCTCTATACCCTTTAGACTAGAACACAACAGTGCAAGCACTGCTTATTGGCGGTAGAAATGGGCAAGAGCGTGGTGGACCGACTATATAGGTGATAGAGGGTGCCTAGGAGACCCAGCCAGACTTCTAGGCTGAAAACAACTTTCCAGCATTCCTCATACGAGTTTATCAGCTTGGTCCTCTTTAACCTGTCCGCCTTACATGGTATTCACATATTCCAAGTGATGTATGCGAAAATATTTTAATATTTTCTTATTTTTATTGAGACTTTAGATTTTGTCTTGATTTAAAATCCCATATAGAAATAATAAGTATAAGTATTCCGAACATATATTTCCGCATAATATGTTGCAAATACACATTAGGGTTCCTCGTACGACAGCAGAATCCTGAAAGCTATTATAACTTTCCAGCATTCCCGAAAATATGTAAACTAAAAAAAAGGAAAAATACACACTACTTTTTATAAAAAAATATTGTTAAGATAAAACCTAAAATTCCTAACGAAAATTCATTTTAGGTTCGCCCGCTTGCTCCGAGAAAACCACAGCAAATTGGCAGCAAAAATTACAGAAGAACAAGGGAAGACCACAGCTGACGCCGAGGGCGATGTCCTGAGAGGAATCCGTAAGGAGGATTTTAAATAATTTAATTTATATATCAATTTTATTTTCACAAAGCTTCTTTCAATTACAATAGAATATCAATGACTTACGCAATGTACCACCGGATTGTTACCGTCATTCTGTAAACAACCCGTTACTGCACCATTTAACGCGCTTGTTGCTGATTTAATGAATATCTTTTGTTTAATGTAGTTTTAATTAGGTTTTGTTTTACAATTGGACGTTAGATTATTTTAATACTATGACATTTGAGCTATAGGCCACTTACGCAAACTCATGCAGAACGCATTGTTAACAAATTGTTTGAAAATGTTTAACGTGTCAAAGTATATTAAATATTTCTTATTATTTTAAAACATTCCACTAATATATGCAAATGAAACTCTGTTTTGTATTAGGTTTACCAATTAACCTTTAATAATAAACATACGCATTGAAGCAGTGCAGCTAGCAAATTGTTCCATAAACTCTCGCTCAAATAAAAAGAGGACTGAGCTCACCAATGAGAAGTTTAAAGGCTGTAACTTTACTTTTTTAATATACTTGTAATAAAATCGTCTTAAAAATAATAAATTCAAGTTAATAACTATACTACGAAACCTTTGAGCTTGTACAAATACAGTAGATATAGTTTCAACATAAAATGTAGACTGACATTTGCAACAATTGCGCTGGGGGAAGCAAAAAGATTGCATTCGTCTAAAAGATAATTCAACGTTTTATTTGTTTCTTTTAGTTGTTATTTCTTAAAGTAATGCCTATACTTTACCTATATGATTTTGTACGTACCGACCGAAAACGAACCTTCGTCCTGGGTGTCACTTTTGGCCGAAATCGGAACCAAAAGTTATTTAGATGTGTAATTTTTTTATAGTGTACTGAAATCTAGTAAATGTTTTCTACACATATCAGCATCATTACAGCCCTTTACAAGTCCACTGTTGAACACAGCCTCCCTCAAGGAATGCCACACCACAAAGCACGTTTTTGAGCCATCTGCATCCATCGACTTCCTACATATCTTACCAAGTCGTCACTCCATCTAGTGGGTGGTCGCCCTACACTTCGCCTACCGGTACGAGGCTGCCACTCGAGAATATTTTTTTCCCATCGGTTTTCGGTTCTTCGAGCTATATGGCCGGCCCATTGCTATGTCGGTCACTCTGGTTCTGCTGCGGATATCTACATTTCTAAGTTTAGCACGCAAAGAAACCCCTCCAAAGCTCGCTGAGTGATCCTGATTGTCCTCACACGACCAGCAGTGAAGGACCACGTGTCAGTTCCATAAGTCGTCACTGGCAACACGCACTGGTTATAGTCTCGTTTTCAGGTTTTGAGGTATAGCTGACGAGAAAATGTGTCGTATTTTGACGAACGCTGCCCAGCCGGGTTGAAGCCATCAATTGACCTCTCGGCCGAAGTTTGACTTACCTAGTTGGACTATTTGTCCCAGGTAAACATACTCGTTAACGACTTCGAGCTTAGTGCTCCCCTGGACGTTACACATGATCTTTGTTTTGTCAACGTTCATCTTAAGACCTATCCGTTGGGGGGCACTATTGACGTCATTGATAGTGCTTAGGTCTTCCAGCGATTCTGTCATAAGTACTGTATTGTCGGCAAATCGAAGGTGAGTGATGTACTCGCCATTGATGTTAATACCGTATCCTTTCCAGTCCAGTAGCTTGAAAACGTCTTCCAATGCAGCGGTGAAGACTGTCGGAGATATAACGTCACTATCTTACACCTCTCTGCAGTTGAATAGGTTTCGTACTCTGGTTCTGTACTCGGATAACCATCGTAAACCTACTGTATAAATACTTCAGCACTTCGAGATACCGTCAGTCAACTTGGCACCACTGAAGGGACTCTAGCACCGCCCAAATTTCCCAAAAAAGAGTCCCTCTTTCGCCGTAAAGTCGCCCAGCTGCTGGCCCTTTGGGTTTCGTTACCCTATTCCGAATTTCTCTACTTTCAGCTCGCCGTTCTCTCTTGTGCCTAGTTTTGCGTTGAAATCTCCCGTTTAGTATTCCTCCAAAACCCATTAACATCGTATAATGGGTTTTGGAGGAATGCTTGGCTCTAGAGATATCCTCATACATTCCTCCACCTCTTCATCGGGATGTGCCGATATGATCTTCAGCGAATACCGTTTGGTGATTCTGAGTATAAGGTACGCAACCCTCGTCGACACACCCCCAATATTTACAAAGTTATTAACTAGAGACTTGTGGGCGATAATTCCGACACCTCCTTAGAACGGTGGTCACCCTCCCGGTGATAGAACAAGTTGCCGGATTCGAGGATAACCGTATCCTCTCTTTCGAACCTCAGATAATCCTATAATATCCCCGCGTAGCTTGTCTATCTCTTCTTCCAGCTCCAGGAATTCATTCTTGGCGTTAGTGAATAGTGTACGCAATCCTGAGATAAAGCGAGGTGCTTGCTAAATTAGGTGATACACGCCCCTTATCATATACAGATTTTACTCATATCCTGATTCTATTAATTAGAGTTGGAGTGAATAGTTTGAGAGACTGGCAGTTATACGAGGCGTCACACGCAACCGCAAATAGTCACAGCATCTATGGTACATAGTATGGGGACTGCAGACATCACTTGAGAGATACCATAATTTGGGAGATATCTATCTATGTTAAATGAACATATTGGTAAAAATGTTTACTGAAATTTTAACTTTATTTTTGCTTTTAGAGCTGGTGGAACATTGCTGCAGCATCACGACGTTGCAACTTGGTGACTGCATCCAAAACATCGCTAAAGATATGGACACACACAGCTATAAAGTGCCATTAGGTGTTGTTGCCGGTAAGTCTGTAAATAATTGTAATTGGATTTTTCATTAAGAGGGCTCTGACTTTGAAATGAAATAAAATTGCCTGTGTAAGTCGTATTACCATAATTTTTATTTTTGTTGAAAAAACATAAAAGAACATTATGTATCTAATATAATTTCAGCCAAATGGCCACCGCGACTTCGCTGTAGGTGATGTGTCTTAGTGAACCAATTTTGGACGACATCTTCGCATAAATGGGCTCAATTTCATGAAGAACGCAAGTTATGTTGGCCCTTCAGGGCGGCAATTGTCTGTGGATTGTCTGCATAGATCAGAGATTTCACGTAGCCCCACAGAAAGTAGTCGAGCGGTGTTAAGCCGCACCATCTCGGTGGCCAGTTGATGTCGCCGTCACGCTAGATAACGATGCCCTCTAACTTATCATGCAGTAAATTCAATGTTACCCCTGCAATGACACAAGTAGCGCCGTCCTGTTGGAACCACATGTTTATGAGGTCCATACTATCTATTCTAGGCCACAAAAAATTTGTTGCCATTGACAGTGAGCGCGGCTTTTTGTGGACCTTCGAAAAAATACGCACCGATGATACCGCATGACCAAAATCCACATCAAACTGACTTTTTCGGAGTGTAGATGTTGATGAATGTTGATGGATTTTTGTCGCTCCAAATCCGACAATTTTGTTCGTCAATAAAGCTATTCAACCAGAAATGGACCTCATCACTGAAGATAATTTTTTACCGAAAGCAGAGTCAGCCGCCAAATGCTTTAAAGCCCAATCAGCGAATACACGGCGCTGTCTGTGCTCTTTGGGTTTTAGCTTTTGAGTTAATTAAACTTTGTATGTATGAAAACTAAAGTCCGCCAAGTTTATGTCACAGAAATACCCAGCTCTTGAGCACGAAGCGGAATGGAATGTCTGGGGTTTTCTCGCACACTGTCCTGAACGGCAATGGTATTCTCCAACAATTTTGCGTTTATTTGACACACAGGCACTGCTTCATCGATCACCGACCGGTTATCTCAAATTTATTCATTAAACGACGGATTGTGGACTCTGCAGGGCGAATTACATAAATTGGATGCAACGCACGGGACGTTAGGCGAACAGAGCACTGATTTTGATTATACATTTTAATAGTTTCAACACGTTGTTGAAGCATGTAGCGTTCCATGGTGAAATGTCAACACTAATAAGTATTCATCCAAATTTGACAGCTATCGCTTAACCAAGATGACTTGCGAAAGTTGATGTCTAGAAAAAACCCTTGATACCTTAAATTAAACTAATTTTATGAATTTTACCACGTTAAATTTTAACTTTTTAATTCCGAATGTCCGATGTCGAGGACGGGGGGGGAGGGTATGTAATGGAAGGTAGCTTATTTGCTGCGAGCCGCCTGTTACTGGGTTCTAACACCTATTATGTATATTATTATAAATATACAGAATAGGTCCCACATATATGCAATAAATGAAACCACAAGTAATACTAGTCCGTAGAAGTGTAGAAAAATTAAATATTAAATTAAAACCCGTAAAATAAAAAAGCGAAATTTTCAAACAAAATAAATATTAAAATAAATTCAGTAAAAGTGAACACTCTGTTTAGACAACGTACCTTGACCCCTTTGAAGAGTGACAACGTTGCACGCGGGTGGCACGCCGACAAAAGACACCACTGTCGATATGTCGCAATACCAATAGTTTGTACTGCGTGGCAACGTCGCTTTTTAATGTTCAAGGATTCAAGTTCATTGAATCATTGACTTAGTGACCCAATTCTATAGAGTGTTCAAATTTGCTTAAAATTAAAACTCTACTTTTTGACCTAATTACTGGACCGATTACGTTCATTTTTTGTATATCGTCAGCAAAGGCGATAACAAGTGTATGGTTTCATTTATTGCATATATGTGGGACCCATTCTGTATAAGAGATGGGCAGAATATGGATTTCACCGAATACGAATATTCGGCCGAAAGTTCGGTAAAACTTTTACCGAACTTTTATACGAATATTCGCCCGAACGTTATTCGGCAGGATCACCTCGATACCTAACCAATTTATGTCGAAACTTGTTACCGTAAAGCGGGCGGCGCCTTTTAGCGCATTAGCGCCAGACTCTGCCACTCGCTCCCCCGCCACACCTGACATGTGATTGCATCATATAGTACTTAGTAAATTGCCGGCACATCGGCAAAAAATATTTGGTTGTGTTATTATTAGTGAAAATTGATAATTATATGATAAAAATGAGTGGCAGAAAATCTTCTATTTGGACTTATTTTAGAGAAACTGACGACCAGAGTTCAGTGAAATGTACTTATGTAATGTAATGTTTTTTTGTTTGATTCCAAAAATATTTTATCAAGCTTATTTGCTGTAATTGGAAATAAATCTACAGTGCCTCAATAACATAACGCTATGCAAGTATATTTAACCTGTAAATAAAATATACTTTCGACAGTAAACTTGTGAAAGACATGACATTACTCAATTCGTACATTTCAATACAGTGAATACCTTGAGTACCGTTTTAACGAATGTTCGGTAAAGCTGTCGAATATGCCGAATACCGAATATGAAATGAATATTCGGCCCATCTCTAAAATATATACTCGTATAATGAATGAATGTAATCTATTAAAAAAGTTTAAGTTTTTGCATTTTTAAACAGTTCAACAGTTATGTTCAATTGAAGTATTATGTCATAATAGTAGTAAATACTCTCACAAAGTTCAATTAGATATGATTTATTTATATTTTGTATTATTTTTAATATGCATAAATTGCACATAGACAAATTTCCAAACCCGAAACAATTATTTGTAAGCTATACAAACGCTTGTTACTTAGATTCGAATCTGCGGCCCACAGCGTAGCAGCTAAGCGCCGTACCACTTCGCAATCAAGCCGAGAAATAACGTTATTGTTTAGTTAATATCTTGCTAGTTTAATTACATAATATTCTATCTTTTATTTAATTTACATAATCCAGTTCCATTGGCTAATATTCATACCGTGTATAATTTTAATATCTTTAGGGGTCGCGGCTTTCAACTTTCCGGTGATGATACCACTGTGGATGTTCCCACCCGCTATAGTAACAGGCAACACTTGCCTTATTAAACCTTCGGAGCAAGACCCTGGAGCAACTTTGCTCATGATGGAACTGCTGCAGGAGGCTGGCGCTCCTCCCGGCGTCGTCAACGTTAGTATACTTTTATTTTACTGCATGTAAATGAAGACTTCAATTGTAATTGAAGTGTAGCGGCGCGACGCTAGAAAATCACGCCTTATAAAAAGATATTGAACACTACCTAGTCTTATTTTAAATAAAGAGATATTTAACATTTGACTTTGTATTAACTGGACACAAATTACTTATCTTTCAAAGCGACCTTTCCTATGTGTAAATAAAAGTTTGGTCACCTTGATAGAAAAAAAAAACGGTCTAGGTAGTACATATCACTATCGGCTCGTTTTTTTTTTGTAGAGTACTCAGTCCTGTTTGTATAGTACGTCCATTCAATATTATATAAGGAAATGGGAAAGTTAGTCTGAGGAATGAGGTGAAATAATAAATGAGTTTAGGGGGAACTTGACCGTCTCAGGCATATAGTTTCAAAACCATCTCGTACCAGATACAATACCCAGAACGGTGTTGAAATCAATGGTGTGAGACAACTCATACTCCGGTCGCCCGTCTATCCGCAAAACATGACGATTAAGGCAAATCCCCTTTTTTACGGTAAAGACCCATGTACAGCAGTAGGCTGTTAAATTTAATAAAGAATACATACATATGCATATGGCGTAATACCTGTAATTTCTGAGAGGGTAGACAGAGTTCAAAGAGCAGCAAACTACTCGGACCACGCTTAGCCTAAAAATATGAGTATAAATGAAAAATTGTAAAAGAAGTGATAGGTGGCTAGTCCATCATCTACACAATTTCTCGCCTATTAGGACATACTAGGCAAGTAACACAGTTGGCACATTCTACATCTCATCATCAGCATGTGGCTGTCCACTGCTAAACATTGGCATCTCCAAATCTGGCGTTGGAGTAGTGTATCCGGCTCGAAGGACCAATATGTACCGTTCTCTATGTTTTAGGACAATAATTTTATAAAATTTATATAATTGAGAACTATAAGATACGATAATATATGCAAATTAAATTTTTATATTGTTTGAGCGCCCGGACGTAGTGTCGGTGCAAAGTTCATTAGCTCACTCCCCGCTCCACTCCAAGTGATCCGCACCCGCCAGCAGACCGGTTTTACTACTTCCCTCACCTTAATGTCGTTCAGTGATGTGAACAAGTAAACCTGTCATGGAGTTAAGAACGCACTTAGGTAAACGCAGTTTGGGACGCCTCTTGGCTAGATGAAGTGACGATCTGCACAAAGCGGCTGACAGCAACTGGATGCGTGAAGCTGAAGATCGGGCTAAATTTAGTTTTCTTAGTTATAATCCTCACTTAAACATGGAACCTATAATAACTTAAGTACAAAATAATTATTTTAGAGCCGTGACAGCTCAGATTTTTAGTAGTCGCTGTAAATTTCACAGTACGCAAGCAACCCCCGCCGGCACCAATGAAATTGTTATTTGAAATTTTAAGTACTGATTTGCCACGTACTGGGCGGGGAAGGAAAACATCCTGAAGAAACCTGCATGTCTGAGATGTAAGAAAATAAATATTTCGAAGACATGTGAAGTCAACATGCAGTGGGGTAGGACAGCGCGGCGACACTTCCTAGCCCTAAAACCCTCTCATAAATCAGAGGAGGCCCGTGCCCAGAAGTGGTACTTATATAGACTGTAACTTTAAATTTTAACTTTAATTGATTTAGGTAGTCCACGGCACGCACGACCCAGTGAACTTCTTCTGTGACCACCCAGATATCAAAGCTGTGTCGTTCGTTGGTGGAGACGGAGCCGGCAAACACATCTACACTAGAGCTTCTGCTGCTGGTAACGCACACGCACACAATAATACACCAAATAAATATACCAATCACTTCTAGCCTAAAAAACTTATGAATGAAGCCATACTTATTTTTGGTAAGACATTCTACCGTCGCGCGCCTAGATATTCGAAATGCTGAACATGAAGTTAGAGTAACTTACAACAACGCTCCTATAATTCCTTTTAGTGTTGCAGTTGTCAATGGCGGCGGCGATCACTTACCGTGAGACAGGCCGCAATCTCGTTAACCCCCCTTTTTATCTAGAACAACTAAAAAAGAAAGATTATCATCGAAATGAAATTGTAAATAGTTGGCACTACACGTGAAAAAATTGTTTTAAATTACATCACATGATTCCGGATATACAACGGCAGTGCGATTGTGTCACGCTGGTGAGAGTTTTTTAACCGTGGGAATCACTGCGCAACTGCTTTATGTTTCATAATTGTGTTAATATTTGGTTACATGAAATAATGTGTTAATGTCAATAAAAGCGACAGTAGCCTAATGGCAAGGCGCGGATCATGAACTCAAAAGGTCGTATGTTCGAATCCACCATTCGACTACTGTCGTGGACCACTCCTAACGCAAGCATTTTAAGCTTACAAGGAGTGTTTAAAAGGAATATTAGTAATGTTAACTAATAGGGTTACTAGATTTTTTTTAATTAAAAAAAATGTCGCAGCCAACTAGCTTAATCAGGATTTTAGTTAACAGCCTAGCTTTTTAACTAAACAGCTCCGTTCAACTAGTCGCGTTCGTGGCCTGAATGACATTCAGCCCATGTGTTTCAGCCGATGCGTCTAGTACAAGATAGTTATAAATATACGCGGTACCAAGTATATAATAAGGTAAGAAGTATATCAATATATATTTATATAATATAGCGCATAGTGCATAATTAGGCATGAAATGTTGTATTAGACGCATCGGCTGAAAAGCATGGGCTGAATATCATTCAGGCCGCTAGTTGAACGGCGTTGTTTAGTAAAGTGGTTAGGCTGTTGATCGGCTAATTAAGGTATTTGGCTGCGACATTAATATAAAAAGACAGTTACAGCCAGAGCACTGATGAACATAGGCCTCCCATATATATTGCTTCATAGGGGGGATGTTTGGCATAGTTGCAGTGGCGAAGCTTCCATTAAAGCCGAAAAGCCGGGCTTGCCTTATTAAACCTGAATCAATCAATAATATCAACTAATAAAATAACAGTAAAATGTTTCAAGCTATTTCAAATTTCCCGCGCACTCCACTATTCGACACATGTCGACCGATGACCTCGTATTGCCTTAGCGATACTGCTGCTGTCATAAAAAATGAGTTTTAATAGAGCTAATAGTCGTCTCCCTCGCTCGCGTGGGCTTTTTACGGGGCTTTCGAGAAGACGATCGCTCTCTTTCTAACCTATGGCAAAATATTCTATAATGAAATATAACTACGATTGTATATATAGCAATTATTATAGAGATTTAAAGCCAGGCTTTTGGGAATAAATTTGTTAAAAGCGGAGGCGCGCGGGCAATACGTTTGCAAGTTCATTTCACGTTTCAATGTTTATTTACTCTGTGTGCTTATCTTAAGCGATTTAATATTACGAGTTCAAAATTTATGCTTTTTTATGAAAATTTTTAATGAAAATGGAGGATAATAGTGTTCCTTGTGATGAATTGAAGTGTGTTAAAGTGATAATCGGAGAGGAAATCTTTAAAATTTGTTGAGATAATACACAAGGTTAAGAGTGTATTGCAGACTTATCAATTATCGCAATTAAAAACAGTTATTGGTACAATTAAAACGTTCACCAACATTTTACGTGGACGTAATTAAATCTTTCCATAAGAAAGCGAGACGATTCCACTTATCTTATCTCTTATCCATTAGAATGTAAATAATTTGTTTTTTTTTTTAATTTTGTACATAGTTTGTTTGTACTTTGTTCATGTTTTACTTTTGTTCATGTGTTGTATTGGATGTAAATTTTTTTTTCTTTCGCTTAAACAAACCCAAACGGCTTTCTTCAAAGCCACCGACGCTATGCAATTGCTGACATGTAATACAATCTATCTAGCAGTGGTATGCCTTCTGTGTGCTTTGTTAAACACGTCCTTGACAGCACTGAATATGAAACTGAAGCGTGGAGACAGATCAAGATTGGTGTATTTTTATAAAACTGCTAAAAACAACAATCTATATTTTTATCAATTTATATCTTGGGCTTGCCCTAGCTTGAAGCTCTAGCTTCGCCACTGCATAGTTGCCACCCTTGGTAGGAACTGACAACTGCAACTTGTTTTTAATTAAAAAATACATTGCTTATAATTTATACTGACACATTTACATAATACAGCGAAATCAAACCCAAAACATCTAATTCCAACTAGAGTTACACAACCGTACTGACTTTGGATGATCTTTAAATGATTTTGTTAAAATAGTAGTTCAGTTTTTATTTATTAACGTTGAAATGACAAATGAACTTACGGTTCCTTGTTGGTTATTACCTACCACAGTCAATGGACACATAGATCCAGCTTCACATAAAGAAGGCTACAGATGCATTGCTACGTTAAATATCTCACGGCCAGTTTTTATACTGGCTCTCTACACCCTGTAGACCGGAAAACAACAGTGAAGGAACTGCTGTTTGGCAGAACAAATACTTAGGCTCCTCGACAGAAATGTATTTCTACTACCGAGTGAACTAGTATACTATTGTTGTTTTCACTATTTATATCTATATTTATTAGAGATGGGCCGAATATGCATTTCACCGATTACGAATATTCGGCCGAACATGATTTGGCAGGATCACCTCGGTACCTAACCAATTTATGTCGAAACATGTTAACGTAAAGCGCGCGGGATTAGCGCCGAACCCTGCCCCACGCTCCCCTGCCACACCTGACATGTTATTGCACTAAGCAAATTGCCGGCACATGATTATGCTTTGACAATTTTTGTGTGAAAAAAAAGTATCTCGTTGTATTGTTGTATGATGATTGATGAATGGCAGGAGATCGACTATTTGGACTTACTTTAGAGAAACTGACGACCAAAGTGAAATGTACTTATGTAATGTAATGTTTCTTTGTTTGATTTCAAAAACATTTTATCAAACTTTCAATTTGCTATAATTGGAAATAAATCTACAGTGCTTCAAAAACATAACGCAATGCAATAATGCAAGTATATTTAACCCGTAAATAAAATAAACTTTCAATAGTAAAGTTATGAAAGACATGGCATTACTCAATTCGTACATTTCAATACAATGGACACTTTGAGTACTACTTTAACGAATGTTCGGTGATTTAGCCGAATATTTGGCCGAATACGAATATTCGGTAAAGCTGTCGATTATGCCGAATATCGAATATAAAACGAATATTAGTCCCATCTCTAATATTTATATGTATTTTAAATTTTTGACTATCCAAAGGTTCCCAGGAAGAGATCGCTTTTAACGAATAAGTCGCCCATTGTGAAACGAATAAAAAAGCATTTCCTTTTATTTTTGTGATTTTTGAAGTGAAAACATCTTTAGAATCGTTGTGGTTTGAAACTCGATGACACGATTAAACAGCGACAATATAAAGAGACGAAAATAACAATCTAAATTTAGGTATTCCAAGTGGTTGATATCGACCCCTTGGGGTTGAAATCGGTTCCCCAGGGGTCACACTAGGATTTTCTCCTGTATTGTGGAGGCAGTTTAAAAACATAAATTGCACAAGGGCAAACATCCAGACACGGGACAATTATTTGTAGACCATACAAATACTTGTTCAGTGCGGGATTCGAACCCGCGGCCTCCAGCGCAGCCACTCATTGCTATGCCACTGCGCCACGGAGCCGTCAATAATTATTAATTACACTTGATATTTACTGAATTTTATGTATATATATTTATTTTGTTAAATTTTGATGAGAAAATGATCTCAAGTTTACTCAACCAATCGCAAAGTTTTTAAATTGATAAGTATTTTAAATCGGTACGTAAAAGCCAAAATAGTTCGGGAATCCCTGAGCTTGCGAGAAAATGAGATAGAATTACGTTATCAGTGTTTCCTATTATCTCAGTCTCCTTTTCTGAAGATTTAACTTCAACCACGTGTGAACTGCACAAACGTTTTTGTTTTGTTTATGAAGTTATATTTATTTATTTACAGGCAAGCGCGTTCAAAGCAACATGGGCGCCAAAAACCACGGCGTGATAATGCCGGACGCCAATAAGGAGCACACACTTAACCAGCTGGCTGGCGCCGCTTTCGGTGCAGCGGGGCAACGTTGCATGGCGCTCAGCACAGCCGTCTTTGTAGGTCCGTCTCTCTCTACTCCATTCATTTCATTCATTCATTACAAATCACAGACCAAGAAAGTAATAAAACTAATTTTATCGCTTTTGATTTTAACTTTTTTAATTTCTTACGTTTCGGGCATTTTACGCACCAATGGGTAGACGTCCCCTCCCACGAGACCATTAATATGCCATTAATCATTAATCGCGTAAATATAGGATGGGTTCCGAAATAGAACCCAGTATATTGGCCAATACAAATGACGTCATAAATCGACGCCATACTGGTGATTCGTTTCAAAACATTGGCCAGTGTATGACATCATACATTTGCGCCATATTGGAAAAGTATTGGCGATTATTTTATGTCATTTTGTGCTCCAAAAGTTGTTTATTATATCCTGTTTCAATTAATTTTGTGAAGAATGGAGATACCAGCAATAACTATATATATTTTTTTTTGTATTTGAATAAATAAAAACAAATTCTGGCATGTTCCATCCAACGTACACACAATTAAAAATTGTTTTAATATGGCGGGATATCTAACATAATATGGCGTCAATTAGTGACGTCATTTGCATTTGCCAGTATACTGGGAACATTTCGAAATACAGCCATAAGAAACCATTATGCCAACAAAAGAAGATAGATTGAGTGATGCGTACATTTCAAGTGATGCCGAAATCATACTCAATTTTTTGACGCACTCACGCACAAACCTTTCTTTTTTTTATCAGCTCATAGAGTTCACTGCTGGACGCACACATCATGTGCACCCACCGCCACTCCGGCAATCAGGATGTTAGGAACTCCTGTCCCATGGCAAACAAAAGCCAAATATTTAGGCGTCACCCTTGATGTAGGGCTCACTTTCGAGCCCCATATCAAGAGAGTTACTCGCACCGCACGATTTTACATGGGTAGGCTCAACAGAATGTTGGGCAAACACAGTAAAATGACCCTCCGCAACAAGCGAACCCTATATAAGGTCTACATACGACCTGTCACGACCTACGCGGCCCCCATTTTCGCACATGCTAAGCCCAAAGTTATAAATGAACTTCAAATAGTTCAAAATCTATTCTGTCGTAGGACCACTAACTCGCCCTATTATGTCCGTAATGCCGACCTACACCGAGACTTAGAGCTCCCAACAATCCAGCAGTTCCTTAAATCACTCTCTGAGAGATTTTTCAAAGCCTCAAAGTCCCACCCAAACCGTCTCATTCGTGAGACAGCTGCCTATGCAGCCCCTCTCCACACTCGCTATAGTGTGCGCAGACCGAGAAACTCTCTCTCGGACCCACCCCAACAAGCTTTCGGCTGACCTGAACTGCCTCCTGGCGGCTCAGGCCGTGCCTACTTAACACATCCCTTAATCTGCCTTAGTTAGGCACACTTCTAAGCGGCTTTTCGCCGCTTGCGCCCTCATTTCTGCCAAGGAGGGTCGCATCCGTATACGGCTTAGAGATCTCTCGTTAGATCGGTAAGCCAATCCATAAAGGCGGCGTTTAGGGGGTAAAAGTCTCCACATAACCACGCAGCCAGCTGCGTGGTATGCTATGAGCATTCACCGCCTCCCTCCCCCGCTTTCCGGAGGGTTGCCCATATTTGCTTCGGGCGCAAAAAAAAATCATGTGCACCTAAAACAACGTTGTTGGTTGTAAATTATTTTAGATGTGTTATTGTATAAATACAGAATATAATTGCTGCATCTATCGCGATCATGATATCTATTCTGGCGTTTTCCTAAATCGACTAATGATACTTGCTCGGTATCTAAAATTACTAACGTAGTGTTCTGGACAATAAAAATTATTTGGATTAAGGTTGAATTTTTGTTATGTGGTAACTACGACTGAAAATGGCCACATGGCCTTATTTCGTCACTTTTTTAAAAATCAACAGAGAAGGCAACGAGCAACACCCTCAAAGGTGCGAGATGTCCGGCACTGCGATATTTAACACTCCTGTTGTGCGTGACTATTAAGCCAAATCCTTCCAACAACGAGAGAGGTTAGAAGTCTAACCGTAGACTTTAAAGGGTCGATCGAATATCAAAGAAATTCGAAGGGTACTTCCATTTTATACTTACGTGCAGGTGTGCAGGAAGCGTGTACGTGTACTAGCGCATGCGTGTTTGTGTTTGAGGGAGAAAGACAGACAGAGAGATAGAGAGAGAGTGAGAGGGAGAGAGGGAGATGAAGAGGCGTATAGTTTTTAGTGACTATGATGATTAAAATAATAATTTCATCCAAATTTCCTTTTATTTTGCCTTGGCTTGTTTTGCCCTAAAACCCTACTCAGAAATAAGAGAAGGCCTGTGCCCAAACGTGGGACGTATATAGGCTGTGACTTGTAACTTTTTTTCGTTTTATTACAGGTGAAGCAAAGGAATGGATTCCCGACCTCGTGAAGCGAGCTCAATCTTTAAAAGTGAATGCCGGTCATGTACCCGGAACTGATGTTGGCCCTGTTATCTCTGCCAAAGCTAAAGAACGAATTTTAAGGCTCGTTGAATCAGGTATTTAAATCTCACTATCACTGTTAAACACAAAATGACCGAGTCGAAAGCTTCCTAACCAATTCCACTAATCAGCAAATGTAGAGATATAAGATTATGTTAGCAAATGTCTTACGTAGCTAATTTTACCTTTGAGCTGTGGTAGTCCATGGGTTTAGTGCTCGCTGTATATTTCACAGTATGCGCGCAAACTGGGTTCGATTTGCGACGGCATTGATGAAATTGTTAATTGTAATTTTAAGTGCTGATTTATCACGTGCTCTGCGGTAAAAATTGAGTTATATATACTACGTACTAGAGAAGGTATTCCAAACAAAAAAAATGTGCCCTACTCTGCTCGTCCGCGTATGTGCGGGAAACAGAAGAGTCGCGCATGCGGAGTTGATATAAACGCGCGATAATAGTCATAATAAATAATTGTGTATTGTTAATCGAGGAATTTTTTTTTTAATTTTTGTTTATTTTGCATATGTGCTAATTTAATATTAAATTATTATTAGCGCCGCTCCGCACTGCATGAATATCGAAGCCACAATAACAGGTGTACGGATTGCAATACAGTTCAGTTGAACATAGTGAGTGTTCGGAGTGTGCCATATCTAGTGCGTAGTACATATATATCGATAGCGGTAAAGGAAAACATCGTGAGGAACCCTGGTATGTCTGAGAAATAAAAAAAATATATTTTGAAGACATGTGAAGTTCGCCAACACGCATTGGGGCGGCACGGCAGTCACTTCCTTGCCCTAAAAACGCTTTGAGAAATGAGGGGGAGGTGTTCCCAGCTGTGCTCAGCAGTGGGACATATATGGGCTGTAACTTGAATCCATGATGATATGTCTTCTTCCTCCGTTGGCATGGGTAGTGAATATGAATAATTTCATAGGGATATGGTCCCGTACCGGTAAGTAAAGTGTATGGGGGCGCCCTTTCTTGCATGTGCTACCTGGTCCTAACTCCCAGCGGATGGAGTTAGGACCAGTACCGTCTTTACCATAAGGGCACACGGGGCCCGAGCCCAGGGTCCCTATTGTAACGGGGTCCCCCGTGACGAAAGGCATCGGCCTTATGCGCTTACGCTATACAATATTTTTTTATTGTAAGGAAAATATAACCCGACAAAGGAAATTTATAGAGTAATTGAGAGCGTTGTTAGTGACTTTCTGGCAACCCTGAGCAGTGACAAAAGCCACACATTGCCGAGTTAGCCAGAAAAGGTGGTATTGACGGATTTCCTAGGTAGAAAATATTTAGTTCTGCGTTACGCCGCCATCTAAACGTTTTTGTCGGTCTGTACAGTCGCCGTACTTATAGTCTGGATTTTGTTTTTCGGAAATCTATATATTTATAATCTATGAAACGAAAAAATATCATTTCGTAGTGTTTAATAAAAATTACACTTCAAAAGATTTAACGGCAAATGATTTATTTAATATGATAATTTTCAACCACTAATATTAGATTTTATAGCAAATAATTGTTACGATCCATATTTTAGGACAAGTGAAATCTAAATTTTAATGTCATAAAAGAATACATGTATTGATGTTTTATACAATATTTTCTTTTTTTGAAAAAAAAAGATTAGGAAAGAAACATTAAAGTTTACATTTTCCTAAGAAATTATTGTCCCCGCTATGAAATCTGTCAAATAGTTTATCTCATTGTAAAGTAGCACCACCCTGGTGGCAGAAAAAGTTGTGGATTTATTCCTCGTTAATGAATGATAAGCCCTCAGTATTGACATATTATTTGTTTTTTACCAATTAACTATAATAATTATAAGATCATAGCAGAAAAATGTTTTTGAAATTCACTTTTTTTTACTTACGAATAGTGCCCCAAGTTTTTGTGTGCCCAATGGCCCCGGTATGGCCTAAGACGGCATTGGTTAGGACCGGGTAGGACATGCAGGAATTCGATGGATGCAAGTAGTAGGAACTTGCTTTGTGGCGTTCCTTGAGGGAGGCTATTGTTCAGCCGTGAGCTTTTGTTGGGCTGTAATGATGATGATACTATTATAATACAATTATTACATTTGATACATGTTTATGTTTCGTCTTTACAGGAGTCAAAGATGGTGCTAAACTAGTACTTGATGGACGTGGCATAAAGGTATCCGGCTTCGAGAAAGGCAACTTTGTTGGACCAACAATCCTCACAGATGTCAAACCTAACATGGAATGCTACAAGGAAGAAATCTTTGGCCCAGTTCTTATATGTCTCTTCGTAGACACTTTGGATGATGCTATTAAAATGATTAATTCTAATCCTTACGGCAACGGAACAGCTATATTCACTACAAATGGAGCCGCCGCAAGGAAGTTTTCCGCTGAGATAGATGTTGGACAAGTCGGAGTCAATGTTCCCATACCTGTTCCCCTTTCTATGTTCTCCTTCACGGGTACTCGAGGTAGTTTCCTAGGTACAAACCACTTCTGCGGCAAACAAGGCATTGACTTCTATACTGAATTGAAAACTGTAGTCTCCTTCTGGAGACAGAGTGATGTATCTCATACTCAAGCTGCCGTGTCCATGCCCACCCAACAGTAATTCATATTGTCTCATATTGCCTAAAGCTTTAAGATAAGGAAAAATGTTAAATAGCATTTATTTTTCTCGGAAAGGTTAACATTCTGTCTTCCAGTGTGTGATTATTATATTTTGTATATGTTATTGTTAATCATGGTGATCGAAAAACATATTTAAATAAATTATATTCTATTTATCCTTGTGGCCGTTTATTTTGAAACAAAATAGTATAATTATAATTCTATGTAAATTATTAAATCATTCAGCATTGTAAGCATCACATGCAAAGGTAAAATAATTTAAAAACCGCCTAAAACTTCCACACTTACTCAGTTGTGACGTCTTTAAGCTTTTATCTTGTATATTTGTTTGTGATTAATGAACTGCATCATTTAAAACAAATTATTGCAATCGTACAATACATTAGAGCTACAAACGTCATTATCGGTTACGATTAAGCACGTTTACTTCTAGGCATAACCCGCCTTCTGAAAGTACTATGAAACAAAAAAGGGCTTGTATCGCTGCTTCAGTTGCAAGGACTTTCATGGCCTCTATATATTTTTATCTTCTTTTATCTTTTCTTATATCCATGGTTTTTCAATAAGAACTCAGTAAATCAGAATGTTAATTACAGTTAGCGTTTATAGCGTCAGCAAATATAATGGAAATTTAGAAAAATAAACTAAATTAACTAAGAGAATTTATCAAATATGATGTAATAACGCGAAGGATCTTGAACATGTTCACCGATAATCCGGTAAGTCTGCAGTCTGTGAACATGTTTAAGATCGTCTCCGCCGCGCCTTTACATCAAATTTGGTACAGCACAAATGCTCGTAAAAGAACACAGATTCCTACAAAGATAATTTACGAGGCTATCGAAATTAAAAAAGACATCCAAATTTCAATAGAGCAGATAGCTGGGTGCTACCATCTACTTGGGTTCCTTTAATAACATTAATTTGGGGTTAGACCCCAAGCATACCACTGCAAGAAGAAATTTCGTAATCTCGTTCTGCGTAGATCGGACTAAAATGTAATATTCAAAATCTGATAGTGATCGGGCTTAGCTATGACATCAGTACGTAAAACATCTCAGTCCGCCCTATGGGTGCTGTAAAGCACCCTAAACCACAGAATAAATAATAGTATTACGTTCAGAAGTTACACTCCTTTGATGTTCACTACTTGTTGCAGCCGCAACAATTGCGCAACAAATGCATTCCGCAGTTTATACGCTCGGCGCGCGGACGTGCATAGAATACCTACATTATATGGACTTTTAAAATCATATCGGTGCAATACAAAAAAAAAATTGTTTAACTATTATAAATACTCTAAAATGGTGCAGTGTAAGAAATGTAAACAGTATGTGTCCTTATCAAAGGATGAAGTGATCAAGTGTAAGGGTTCTTGTGAGTCTGTATTTCACAAAAAAATGTGTTCGAAACCTTAAGAAGCATATGCAGAAAGAAATTTGTGAAGAATGCCAAAAGAACGAAAGCCCTGAAAGAATTAGCAAGCCCATGATTGATGTTGATCTCAATAAGACATCAGTGGAAATGTTGCTAGGTGAGGTAAACAAAAAGTTAGAGATTATCTATAAAATGGAAAGGAGCATTGAAGAACTCAAGGATACAGTAGACTTCTACGCTGAGCAGTACCAATCGATTATTGAATTCAAAGAGGAAGCTGAGAGAAAAATCAAAAATTTGGAGAATAAAAATACTTATCTGGAAAAATGTAACAAAGCAATGGAGGAAAGGATCTTGGAAATAGAGCAGAGGGAGAAGGAAAATAACATAGAAATTGCTGGTCTGGAGAGGCAAAATAATGAACAAATTTTTGAGGTCGTGAATGTTATAGCGGAAAAATATAACTTGTGCAAGGCTGATATTGTCGACGTGAAGAGGGTAGGAAGACCAAAACCAGAAAAAACAAAGCCGCAACCAGTTATAGTTACTCTTCGGTCGAGATCGGCCCGTGATAAATGGCTCAGTCTTCGCAAAACGACATTAACAAATGATCACGTATATGGTAATAATTCCAAAAGTTCGATTTATATTAATGAGGACCTACCTAAATACAAGCGACAATTATTTTGGACCACAAAGAATGAACTAAAACAAATTTATAAATACATATGGATACAGAATTCTAATATATTAGTTAAAAAAGAAAATGAAACTAAAATACACAGGATTTCATGTGAGAAAGATATACAAAATCTTAAAGCATAAATATGCAACTAGCGTAATGTGGATACACTACGTGGTTTTTTTTGTTAACGTTAAAATTCGAAAATTTTAATGAAAGCATCACAGATATAAAATTTAATAGATTTAAAAATATTATTACTTGGAGTAAACAATGGGGCACAGACTATAATAAAATACATATTTTACACCTAAATATTAGATCTTTAAGAAAACATTTTAATGAGTTAACAGTACTATTACAACAAACTTTATGCTCTATAAATATTATAATCTTAACAGAAGTAAACATAAAGAAAGAAGAATTACCCTTTTACGAGATTCAAGGATATAATAGCTATGCGAATACCAGAGAAGTGAAAAGAGGAGGAGGAATACTTATCTACTGTAAGGAAGGACTAAATATTGAAATGGAAGTAGGAAATACAACTGCATTGGAAACTGTATATGGACGAATAATTACGACAACAAGAACTTTACATCTTATAGCATGTTACAGACCACCGAGTAAAAATAAAAAGCAATTTATAGATCAACTAGGAATATTAATAAGGAAGATACCGTCACAGGATGATCTAATCATAATAGGAGACACAAATATAGATATCTCAAGAAATAAAATAAACCCGACAATTGACCGTTATAAAAGCACCCTGTGTGAAAGCGGCCTCATGTGTGCTATACCAGCGAGGGAGATAACGCGCGAGGCGATCGTCGAAGGCCGACTCGACCAGAGTAGCGTCGACCATGTATGGGTACGGACGATGCGCTCCGGCTGCGGGCCGACAGCTTCATTTATACTCGAGTGCAACATCTCAGATCACAGTGCAGTAGGTATTACCCTTGATATTGACCGTAAGCATACAGTGTGCAATAACTATAACGAAGTATGTAAATACAAATTTGTAATAGATAAGTTAGTTAAGGAAAAATTAAGATTAACGGACTGGTCACAATTTTTGTCTATATTATGCCCAATATTGTTATATGAATCAATATGTTCTACATTCTCCAAGATTTATGAGGAAAGTAAAATTAAAATAACTTTGAAGAATAACAGAATTAGTCAGCCATGGGTTAATAAAGAAATATATGATAAATTATTAAAGCGTGATATGCTATTTCGGGAGTGGAAAGCATCGCCTAACAATATGACCAAAAGGTTAGAGTACACTTCATTTAGGAATAAGGTGAATAAATTAATTAATAGTGCTAAGAATAGGTATAGACAAAAGGAAATAAATGATTGTAACGGGGATTTTAGAAAAATATGGGAAAATATCAATACGTGGATAGGACGCTCTAAACCTAATCTAGATAGTGTTATCTTGAAATATCTCGGTAAAATAGATAATATATACAATATATGTAGTGAATTTTCAAAAACCTTCACAAAAGAAATAGAATGCATAAAACATAGATGTAACACTAATTTCCTAAACAGAAATAGTTATGTTAAATCAAGCGAAGTATCTTTCAGGTTTGTAAAAAGTAAACTCGTCGGAAATAAAAGAAATTATAAATAAGTTGCCAGAACGAAAGTCACCAGGGGTAGATAAAATTAGAGTTAAGGATTTGAAGTATATAAAAAATGAAATAAGTCCAATTTTAGCAAAGTTTGTCAATTTATGTATAAAAAAAAGTATTTATCCAGATGAATTAAAAAAAATCCATAATAAGACCTATTTTTAAAGGTGGCAGCCATTATGAATACACAAATTACAGGCCAATAGCTATTCTTCCCGTAATAAATAAAATTGTAGAAAAGGTAGTCATACAAAGAGTGGGTAGATTCTTAGAGAAATTTAACATTATTACTGAATGTCAACATGGTTTTAGGAGAGGACGGAGTACTAGTACTGCGTTAATTAAGTTTTCGGAAGCAATTAACTACAGTCTTAATAATGGTAAACAGGTGGTGGCTCTTTTTATAGACTATAAAAAAGGCATTTGATACTCTGGACCACGAGGTACTTCTGGGGGCTATGGAGGAATGTGGAATTCGGGGGCCCTGTAAACGAATGGTTCCGTAACTATTTATCAAATCGGACTATTCGCACTATGGTGAGTGGGACAACTGGCGCTGAAGAACGCATCTCTCTCGGTGTAGCAACCGGTTCTGTGTACGGCCCCGTAGGGTACATTATACTGGTGAACAGTGTGGTTAATGTGGTGCATCACTGCGATACCTACATGTACGCCGATGACATGTGCCTATTGTATGCTTCCAAAAACTTACATGAAGCTTGCGTTAAAATACAGGAAGACTTTGATCGGATTACCCAGTGGGCACATGATAACGGCATAATATTGAACTTGAAAAAAAGAAAGTGTATGCATTTACATTCTCCATACAACAGGCTAGCTAAGAATGTACGCTATGAAGAAATAGGTATTGTAGGGCATGACTATGAGTGCTTGCACAGGGAAAAATTATCATGTCAATGTGCCAAAATAGAATTTGTTAATAGTTACAAATATTTAGGACTGTTGGTAGATAGTAATTTTAATTGGAAATTACACATTGAAGAAGTATGTTCAAAATTAAGGTCCATTTTAGGCAAATTCTATCAAATTCGAAAAGTAGTAAGTAAACATGTTCTATTAGTGGTTTACTATGCATTAATTGAATCTTTAATTAACTATGGTCTTTGTAGGTGATTGTGCATAATGATATTATATAGTTTTAAGAGCGTGTACTCGCCGACAAACTGATTGCAGTTTGGCGAGATAATAGTAAAAATAATGTACTTACATTTGAATGAATAAATTAAATAAAAAAAAAAAAAACTTGTCGATGTT